TGTTGTGGTCACGTGATTTTAATAATTTTTTAATACAAAAAACTAGACATGTGGACCTTCATTTTACTTCTTACAGATTTGATCTAGCTCTTCTAGTTTAGCTGTAATCACAAAAACCGCAGCGACACTTTCATTTGACTGGTTAGATAACATGTTTAACCAATTCACAATTTGTTACAAAAATTTTGCCACAACTATTAAATTAGTAAATCGTATAGTTGATGCAATCTATGCAGAAAATTAAATTACATAGTATAAAATCAGTAAATAATTGTAATATTTTTTGTTTTTGTTTTAATTGCGTCAGTTTATAAACTACCAATAATTATTATTACTAATACTTATTGATCATATTGATTATTTTTAATCGTACTTCATTATCTAATATGTCAGTATCAAAGCCACCCAAATGCACTGACAAATAGTTTTGAAATGTAACTGTATTTTATTTTTAGTGTTTCTTTTAGCAGTTATATTATATAACTTATATATTTGTTTAGCAAATTATTATCTGATCAAGGTTATACAACTCTATCACACAATACAGTAATCATAATGCCATCTTGAAAATAATATGTACACTGGTAATATAGTGAGCATTACATAACACTTACCAGGATTACCACCAGACTCACTTTTTCTTAAAATGACCTTGGTCACTGATGCCAAGTTAAGATAATATGAATTACCAATTATAATAGTATTATTAGGTATGTGTGCCTTCATTGGTGCAAATGTTAAGACTAATTGATCATAGTAATTAGTAACGATGTATTTAGTACACTGTATCAGCGACAAACACAATGTGCTAAAAAATAAGTTCTAGTACATTTGGGTCACATTTTTAATGCTTTTTTATCAGTAGTTTTTAATACCACGTTTGAGTGCTTTTAAGTGTTTACTTATTTTTTCACTGATTATCTCAATTACTTATAAATACGGTTAAAAATGTTATTTATTTGTTATAATACACATATCATTTAAGTTAAAATATTTTAGTTTTATTATTTTTTGTAATTTTATAAAATGTTTATTAAAAATACTATTTTATTCTTATTTGCGTTAATAAGCATTGAATACACGGTTTGTATTGAAGTGAACACAACCTCTGGTGTAGTGAAAGGTCTGACTATCGATGTGTTGAACACAAGTGTTGACCAGTTTTTGGCCATACCTTATGCCGAANGGTCTGACTATCGATGTGTTGAACACAAGTGTTGACCAGTTTTTGGCCATACCTTATGCCGAACCCCCGGTAGGGGTACTCAGGTTTGCCAAACCGGTGCCACTCAGACATCCCATACAAGTATTTAGTCTAAACTTTTATAATAATTATAATTAATTTTAATAAATATTTAACTAATTTTTTATTCCTATTTTTAAGGACATAATAGACGGCACAGAGACTGGAAACTCTTGTATGCAATTCATTCCCAATTACTTAAAGGATTTTTTCGGGAATTTAACCTTAAGTGAAGACTGTTTGGTATTAAACGTATGGACACCACATGTGGACAACAAATGCCAAACGAAAGCAGCCCTAAAACCGGTCATGTTTTGGATACACGGAGGGGCTCTCGTGTTAGGCTCATCTTTTCAGGAGATGTACAACGGCTCAGCTCTGGCCACACATGATGTGGTGGTTGTGTCCGTCAACTATAGGTTAGCAAAGTTTGGGTTCTTATACGGGGATCGGGAGGACGCGCCCGGAAATGTCGGCTTTTATGACCAGTTATTGGCTCTCAAATGGGTATTAATTGATATTTTATTTAAATTATTAATTATATTCAATAATAAAAATTTATATGAATTAATCACATAATAATAGGTTAAAGAAAACATCCACAAGTTTGGCGGAGATAGGGATCAGATCACCATTTTTGGTGAGAGCGCCGGCAGTTGGTCCGTATCCGTACAGCTATTGTCGCCGTTATCTAAAGGCCTATTCAAGAGGGCTATACTGGAGAGCGGCGCCCATATGTTCAATAAAGACAGGGATTTAAAGACAGCGCCGGAAGCGTTAACTGAAGCCATACAATTGGCCGCACATTTAAATTGTAGTCAAACACAGATTGAATGGTTAGAGTGTTTGAGACAATTAGACGCCGACGAGATAAATGTTGACGCACTCAACGCTGGCGTTACTGCGGCCACTCTCGGCACTGAATACCTCCCGGTGTCCGCACACCAGGCCTTTCAGACCAAACAGTTTAACAAAGGTTTGTTTATATTTACTGTATATAAATAAAGTATTTACAATAATGTAAATTTCAATTATATAGATCTAGATGTGTTGGCCGGTGTGGCCCAACACGAGGGCTCACTTATATTATCAATGAATACTCCGGGAATTCCGCAAAATATAAGCGAAAAACAGTTTCACGATTACGCGCAGGGATTTAACTCAATCTTTCATAACCTAAACGCCGACAATATTACAACGTTTTACATGTCGTCCATCAATAAGTCGGATCTCGAAGCAGTCAAATGGCAATTAAATGATCTCTTCGGCGATCTAATGATCACATGTCCGACACATCAGTTTGCCATCAATTATGGCCAACAATCGGCCGAAAGTAATGTGTATTTCTATGAACTGACATATCATAGGACACCAGCAAAACCGGGTCCCGACATGTTTGGTGTCACTCATGGCGAAGAAGTGCCGTTTGTTTTCGGTCTACCATTACTTTATCCACAGAAAACTGATACAGAAGTAGACAAACAATTTAGTCGGGATGTCATGAAAATGTGGACCGATTTCGCTAAATATGGGTAAGAGTTTTGAGAACTTTTGTTTCAATTTTATTATTTAAATATTTTTAATTAATTTTAAAATTTTACAATTAATTATAATTAATTTAATGTATTTATAGGAAACCAACTGTCGATTGGCCTAAACTTATTGACAATAAAATGAAAGATTATGTGCCGAAAGCCAAAGAACTCAATCCATACAAACTTTGGCATAATTTCAATAATTTATTCAATACTACTTGCGATGGCTTTTGGAAACACTATTATAATTAATTTAACAATAAATTCTTTATAATTATTTTAATTAATTAAAAATACTATAATTTGTGAAATTATTAATAAATATTAATGTTTAAGCAATTCACAATTTCTTACAAACAAACATTTTGCTACAACTATAATGTAATATTTTATTATTACAAATTATAACAAGTTACATATATATAAAGTTGTGTTCTGATTTTTAGGGAATACAAACATAAATTCATGAATTAAGTTTTAATTGATAATTCACAGAATAATTATGTATTTAAATCATTTTAAAAGGGTTTATATAAAGATACAATAATGATACGTTATAATTGACTATTATATAAACATGACATCGGTATCTCATACATTATATTGTAAATAAAAATCATATCCATGAATGACATTTATAACAAATGTATGCGTTTGTGTCGAATTAAATTATTAGCCCAATTAAATCTTTTGTTACAATCACTAAAATTGCAAACAAATGATTTTTCTCCCGAATGAATGCGTTTGTGTTGAATTAGATTCTGTTTGAAAACAAAATTTTTGCCACAATTTTCTTCATTGCATTTGAATTTCTTTTCATTCAAATGAACACAACTTTTGTGTTGAAATAAATTCTGTTTTGTTGTAAAACTTTTGT